GGAAGAGGAGGAAAAGGCAGCTGAAAGCCTGGAAAGGTACGGGGGGAAATCTTGCCCCCATAGGGCAGAAGTCCCACCCCAGAAGTCCCGTTCCTCCTGAAAGTTCTGCCTCCAGCACAGGGTAACATCTAGTGCCGCAAGGCCATTTCGTTTGGGCTCCAAGTGCCTAAAAGGTTCACTATCACTGCTATAATGTATCATTTGTTTTATTAATGTCCAAATTTAATAGTTAGAAACTTAACAGAAGAAGCATGGCAACAAAGACATCTCATATGAAGGGTCTGAGAACTCTCCAGGAATCACAGATACTTCACATAATTTTATCTTTGGCTAAAGATTGCTTTTATTCTGAAAGACTCACACAGTTAAAAGGTTATTACATACAAGTTTTCCCACCAGGGCTGAATTAGACAGCCCTCCTTAGCGTAACAGTTCCTGCATATTTCATTATAAAACAAAGGCAAGTGAAGTGGTTCCACACCATTAAAATGTGATCCCATCTAGGATCCACCAGTCCCCATCATTAGCAGGCCTTTAGAACAGCTCTAAACACCTGTTTGTTTTCTTTGGCTCTTTCTGAGTTGTGGTTTTTCAAATGGATGTAAAGTGAAATGGTCTGGATATTTGTTTTGTTACTGTTTATAGCATTTAATTTCATCAATCATTTTGTGGGTCATCATAATGGATTTTATTGTGTTAGCCATCCTGAAAGGGTTTTCATTTGGGACAAGGTATGTCCCTTCCAACATGGTGCACAGATTAAAGCTAACAGAGTATCACTGGCACATAAAGTACATATTGCTTTGTCACAACAAGTAGAAACTCCTTCTCATCAGAGTTTTGGTTTCTATTCTAGCTGTTAACAAAAAAATGAAACTGAGTAGGATCTGTCTTATGCTAGGCTTTCACCTTTAATAAAGGTGGTAGTGCACACGCTGGTAACCTCAAGGCTAGACTTCTGCAGTGCACTGTACATGGGGCTACCTCTACCAAATTCAGAAGCATCAATTAGTTCAAAACATGGCAGCCAGATTGGTTACTGATACATCTAGAAGTGCCCATATTACACCAACATGAAAATCATTCCACTGGATACCATTTAGATAAAATTTGGGGAATGTACAAAGTGTTTGTCGTTACCTTTTGGTTCAGCTTAGATATAGGATGGCCTTCTCCCATATAATCCTCCCTGTACACTAAAGAAGTGTATGACATTTTCTTCACCTGCCCTCAGACTGTGGAATGATCTGCTAGAAGATATTTGTCAGCTCAAGATGCTGTCAATCACCAATAAAGATTAGTCTCTTCTAGCAAGCCTATCCAGCTTATTTTTAAATTACAGTTCTAAAGTATTTATTGGTCAATTTTAATGTGTGTCAGTTTTATATGTTCTTTTAACTGATGTTGTTGTTCCTGGAGTCAATTCACAGGGAGAGGCAGATAAGAAATTATTTTGTATTATTATCATTGTTATTAATGACCAAGTTATCAGTTCTAGAAAGCTCTTTCTAACCAACAGATTAGGAAAGGTGCCTTTTTTCTCATCTCCTGATTAAGTGGATGAAAAGGAAATAATTTCTAGCAAGATTAATACAGTGTTAAGCTTCTTTAGTGAACATAGCAATCACATGACATTACCTCATTTGGTGGAAAGGTATACAGCAGGGGTAGGCAACCTTTCCCCTTTAAGGGCCGAGGGACTTCAGCTCCCAGAAGCCTCAGCCATGTTGGCCAATAGTCCCATGTTGGCCAATAGCTCCTGGGATTCTGGGAAAGGTTGCCTACCCCTGGTATACAGGCTATGGGCCTTTGCAGACTGCTAGAAATAGTGCAAATTGAGTCCACTTTAAGGGTTAAGGTTAGGGAATCATGGGAACTGTATTTTATTGTGGCACCAGAGCTCTCTGACAGAGAAGGCTCAATGTCTCAGGAAAAAAAAACAATTCCCATGATTCCCTAGCACTAACCCTAACCCTTAAAGTGGACTCAATTTTCACTATTTCTGGCAGTCTGCAAAGACCCTATATCACAATTGTTTCAGTTAATTGTTCCAGTTCCATACAGACTTATTTTGGAGTGACTGCAATGAAGATTGGTTGGATTTAATTCTTTACTTCTTACTGCTACTGTCTCTTAACTCTGCATTTAAAACATTGTGGAAAGCTTACAGTAGTCCACAAGATTTCTTCTCATTTGTGTAATGGAATCTGAACTGCATAGGGTTTGAAACGAAACTCAGGAGACTATCGCATAAGCAAGTTAAACTGGTTTACCTAAGCCGGCTTAAAATTTAAAACGGGTGGCATCCTGATTTTATCACAAAGATTTAGCCATCGAAATCGCCGCCCAGGTGCAGTCTGGGTCCGTTGCTGTTCCCAGTGGTGTGCAGCATAGCTTTTTTCTAAACCGGGAGTTTTCCAGCTTAAGGAAATGGCCGCTAGAATGCCCTTGGGAGCAGCAATGAACCCAGGCTGCACCCGAGCAGTGAATTCAGCGGCTAAATCCGTGTGATAAAATCAGGATGTCACCCGTTTTAAATTTTAAGCGAGCTCAAGTAAGCCAGTTTAATTGCTTATGTGATAAGCTTCTCAATCTGCTCTTGAGTCACCAGATTAAATTTTTTATCTTCCTGCTCTCTCTGCTCTGTTCCCAAGGAATGTGTGACAAAAAGATGTCATTCGTATCCTATTTTTCCTCCAAGGAAGCCAAGCTGCTGCACTCACTTTATTCTTACAACATTCCTGTGAGTTGTTATACCAAGAAAGAATGTATGACCAAAGGTTACTGAATGAGCTTCACACTTAAGTAGGAGTATGTGTCATGAAACTATTTACTGAAAGAGCCAGGGCTTTTGAGAACTTCAGTTCAAAGATGTTTGCAAAAGATGCAAGAATCTGATAATTGCAGGAACTGTTCAGCCAGATATATCAAGACTGAACATCAATGGTGCACAAATAGTTATCTTCTTTGCTTCAATGTTTTGCACCATCAAGAGCTTTTACGCACTGGAGTGCACCATAAGCCTTTTCAGAAAACCCAGTTCTACAGCCATCCCTATACACAGCTGTGATAAACAGAGGTTTGGAGGAAATCAATCATTCTCTACCCACCCACGTAGCCAACAAAGTCAGTACTGCAGGTGCCATCACAATCACAGAAATCCTCATACTCAACTCACCTGAACAATGTACAGCATTTGCTATGAACTTTCACTAGTCCTAAAACACCTGACAGCCAATCTTGGTTAGTGAACACGGAATAAATAGGCTACACAAATACAAACAGTAAGCAGCACAGAGAAACCATGCCCCATTTTTCATTCAACATTATGAATTCAGAGATTTAGGGTCTCGGCAGACGGCTTAAAAAGCCGTGCTCGGGGCAAGGAAGGGGAGGGGAGCCGCATACGCTGCGGCGGAAAAGTCAGCGAAAGTGCGCCGCAAGCTGACTTGTGAAAGGAGCACTATTTTAGCGCTCCTTTCAGGGGCGGCAAAGGTGCGCCGCAGGATCGAGACGTGGAGATGCCTCGGTCCCGCGGCGCACCTTCCCAGGTTGGCCCCATGCCACCAGTCTGCTTAGGCCCATAGTGGTGTTCATCTGAAATATAGCTATGCAAAATGATCTTGTAGCACCTGTGATACTAACAGAAAGAAAGAAGTTGTAGCATAAGCTTTTGTTGACTTGGGGCCTTTGTAGACTGCCAGAAATAGTGCAAATTGAGTCCACTTTAACTGCCCTGACTCAGTGCTAGGGAATCATGGGAACTGCAGTTTATTGTGGCACCAGAGCTCTCAGACAGAGAAGGCTCAATGTCTCAGAAAAAAATACAATTCTCATGATTCCCTAGCACTGAGCCAGGGCAGTTAAAGTGGACTCAATTTGCACTATTTCTAACAGTCTGCAAAGGCCCTTGGTCTACTTCATCAGATTCCATCTGAACATTAAGAAGAATTTCCTGATGGTGAGAGCCATTTGACAGTGGGATACGCTGCCTCCAAGTTTGGGGTTTGTTTTTTCCCTTTGGAGATTTTTAAACAGAGACTGGAAGGCTATCTGTCAGGAGTGCTTTGATTGCATGTTCCTGGATTGGACTGAGGGGCCCTTGTGGCTGCTTCCAACTCTATGGACGTTATCACACGGGGGCAAATCTACTGGTTAATCCACACA